AACAAACTTCGAGAGACTCATTTCGAAAAATAGTTATTCTCCGCTTCTCACTGATGCAAATGTACATTTAAAGCCGACTTTTAGCCTGAGCCGACGTATCTGTGCTAAGACGTCCGTTCCAACTTTTTAGTCACCCCGTGTTGCAATTGCTTTCAAGATAACAAAACACCACTACAATTCAGATTCATGCCCATGGCTGTAGTATATATTTCATATCTATGGATTATGATAATTAGCATGTATGCATTATTCATGAAAATAAGTATAATGTTGTCCCAGAGCACGGTGCGTCAACATAATACTTGTAAACACCAATATCAGGTTGCTTACTTGCTTTATCAAATGAGTGAGTGAGTGAGTTGGGTTTAACGCTGATTTTAACAGTACTCCAGTTATATCGCGGCGTGTCAGCTTAATGTGGGAGGAAAGCCCGAAGTGATGCAGGTCTCAGACGTTTACCACTTCGGTGAAACCCACGAGCATGGGTATGGTGCTGACAAACCTAGAAACATAATCGGGGCGAACCGGGATTCGAACCCACAATCATAGGTTTCTGGCGTACCCAAGGGACGCAACGTGAACAGCGAATCGCGGCGCCTTAGATGACTGGGCCACCCGTGCTCCCGCTTTATCAAATGAAGTAAATCAATGTTTTACAAAGCACTTTCCTTTCACTCAACTCATAAATCTGTATTGAAGAGCAGTGGTATGTTTCCACGATAGATGCATTAAGCGAGCGTTTTTTCCTCACACCACTGGTTTCTACACCAATCAGCTTCATTGTGGTGTGGGAGCGTCGCGCCCTTAGTTGTTTAGTTTATTGATCACGCTATGGAGTAGACACATTATACACAGCGCAGAAGGGGGTGTTGTTGTGCACGCATAAAATGTTATCACCATGGTACGATTTGATTTAAACTTTTTTTTTTATTTCAAAAGAAATCTGGATCGGTAAACAAGCAAAACTTGCTTATGTAAATACCTCTCCAGGTAATAACTTAGCAACAGCTGGTTATACATATAAGATAGTGCTGAACGTAAACGTACTAAATACACATATGAAATACATGAAGGCAATACATTGAAGCATGTGTATTGGCTTCATGTATTTCATTTGTGCATTTAGTATGTTTATCTACGATTTAAATGTTATTCCCACACCATAGATATGTTTCTTCAATGTGAGGTTTTTAGGATGGCACATGATATTATTACTTTTTGTCTTACCATTGGGTGCACTAGTGGCCCAGTCGGATAAGATTCCGAAATTCGCAATGCAGAGGAAGAAGGTCCCTTATGCTTACGAGAAGCCAATGATCGTAGGTTCGAATGCCAGATCCGCCTTGATTATGATACCCGTCATTTTTAAAGGTCTGCATAATTTCGGGGTTTCCTCCTAGATCGAGCCTCCACGCTGTGACATAAGTGATAAAGGCGGAATTAAACCCAATCAACTCAATCACTCACTTAAAGTTTGTAATTCGCTTGGACCAAATCATTGATTTGTTATTACGTATTCAAAACATGATTTTAAGTTTCAAGAGTAATTTTATTGTTCAGAAAGTACAGGTGTTTTTGTTTGTTTGTTGTTTAAAGCCGCACTCAGCAATATTCCAGCTATATGATGGCGGTCTGTAAATAATCGAGTCTGGACCAGACAATCCAGTGATTGACATCATGAGCATCGATCCACGCAATTGGGATCGATGACATGCAATCTGTTGACTGACATTGGGAAAAAATCCGTGTCTGCTGCCAGGAGCACAGCCCTTCTGACACTCTTGGTAATGCAGTTGGCTTCAGTATTGTGGAGTCTTCACATTCTCTCAAAAATTTATTGGTGGGTGCAAGTAGGCAGCGCTTCCTAGAGGAAAGTCCCCGTGTATCAATATTACATATTTTGTAGCTTCAGCTGCAAAATGACATATATTTCTTTTATTTAAAACTACGAGCCTGAATTTTGTTAAAGAAAAACGCAATGTAACTTCAACTTTTCAATCGTCAATTTTCATTGTTTTTACTTTTGAGGTACAATCGAATATACTCTTTCCACGAAGGTTTCGTACGAATCTTGGGGCTTAGTAGAGCTTTTAAAACTGTTTTGGGCCTTAGTAGAGCTTTTGTTACTGTCTGCCGCATCATTGACAAAATGATGTCAGGTGAACAACTGATTTTGCATGTGTTTGTGACGGGTGAAACAGGTGGGGCAGGATACGTTTCAATAGTTCATCTTGAAACATAAAAATCACGACAGCCATTCCTTTGCATGAACTGAAACTTTGGACGTTTAAATTGATAAGTGAGCTATTATAGCATTTCCATGTACTAATATAAATCGTATATTCATGTTTAAAAGTACATCTTTAAAAGATAAGAAAATACTACAGGCTTCCTTTTGCATGAAATGAATAACTTAAAATCGATTCATGAGGTTTGTGTCCACTAAGATAACAAATTGACTTTCGGATCAATACAAAAAGATAAGACCTGTGGTGCACTCTCCCTTGAACAAAGGTCATCATGACAAAACGTTGAAGTCTTGTTTTTGAGTAGTTTCCTTATTTGTTGTCACTGGTGTTCTTACAGATATCAGTTTACCGTCTATAACTGAAACGCTTAACTAAGGACTCTTTTAGTCTGCATAGTTATGCGTATCATTGCTAATATCTAGTTCTACCGTGTAATGCTCTTACATACATGGTTATTCTGAAAACAGAGGACAGCAGCCAGACGGGCTTTGAATTGTTTTGTCAATACTTGACAACAAGTTGTCATAGGTAACCAACACACCATAGTTCCAACTCAACGTGCCATGTTCAACCTCATTCGTTGCAGTTGTTAACAGACATCCGGCAATATACCATTGGCGGAGGTGTTTAAGGCTCTAAAATCCATATGTAGATCGATTTTCTGAGACAATAGCAGTTTTTCTTCGTAGACTTCATGAGACCCTTACCTCGGATGATCCACGCGAAGCGGCATCATGCTGAACATAGACCAATGTCCATGAGATCTTTACAGCGGGTCATCCTCGCGTAGAGTTACATGTATCATGCTGAAAATGAACCAAGTTGTATGTATTGTTCGTACATGCAGTAACCGCCTCCGTGGTCTAATGGTAGAGCGTCCGCCCGGAGAGCGGAAGGTCCGGGGTTCGATCCCCAGCCGTGTCATACCAAAAGACGTTAAAAGATGGTACCTGTTGTTACCCTATCTGGCGCTTGGCGTTAAGGGGCTAAAACAATGACTGGTCGGCTCGGAGTCAGTATACTGCGTCTGAGTGAGGCATTCATGTTAAACTGCGTCATGGTATCTCAGTGTGCTAGCACTATAAATCGGCATCAGTCCGGACTAGTACAAGCAGCCACACACATACACATACACGTGCATGCACGTCGCTATATAAGTGCAATAATCTTGGACGCGACGTTAAACCCCATTTCACCTCACCTCGTACATGCAGTATTTGCAACCAGGATGAATCTTACTCACAGTCTTCCAAAATAGGAATCTTCTCACTTGCAGTATTTCCACATAGTGTGCTTCTTACACGCCTTCTCTATACAAATATGATGCATTTTGCAAGGAGTGTTTCCAACTAGGATGCTTCTTCAACTTAGTCTTTCCAAATAGGATGCCTTTTGCAAGCAGTATCACCTTCGCCTTAGGGGTGACTATAAAGGCATTTTTTACTATTGCGATAATATTGCGATAGTTAAAACAACTATTGCGATACTATTGCGATAGTGGCCCTACTATTGCGATACTATTGCGATAGTTTTTACTTACAATTATAGCAGGCTTTAGCAGCATATATTTCAGCATTTTGACTGACACCATCAAAATAATTATAACTTTCTGATACTATTTGTAAAGAAAACAAGAAATGAGAAGAAAACAAGTTCAAATTGACCTCTCCAAAACATTTTAATACAAAATTTCACTTCATGTAACTTGTAAAGTCTTAGGTTACTGCAGTGTTTCAGCACCAATGTGAATGAATGTGATTTAGTGACTAGTATTTGACTATACAAACTGTCAAACTAATTGTCACATTCGCATTCACTGAATGACTAAATGCGATTCAACATATAAAATTAGGAAACAAAGTTGACAAAAACTGACATGTGGCGTCCGCCATCTTGTCAATGTTGCCTAGCGACGAGTAGCTAAGGGACGTAATTCTAAATCAAGCAGACAAAGTAGTGCAATCCAAAGGGAAGCACGACAGAGGTCAGGTGATCACAGGAGTTGTTTCTATGATTTTTAAGAAAGTAAATGTACCAAACAAATTAACTATCGAAACTATCGATAGTTAGACAAACTATCGCCAATAGTATCGATTGTTTCAAGTTGCAATCGATAGTGTACTATCGTGAGACGAGCAATCGCAATCAATCGATAGTTCGATGTATCGTTACAGTTCTGCTGTGTGGCATCAGGGAACAAACAAACACTTACTGCTTTGTGCAATGTTGACGACAGCGATGGACTCCACCTTGGTGACATCTTTCATGTGGCAGCAGCATTCACTGGCTGTAAATACGACCCGTAATGGGGTGTCCTCAGATCTTTGGTTAGCGGTAACGAAAACTAAGATCTGATTTTAATGAGATTGAGGTCGTGGTCTCAAAATCCTTCCGAGGTAAAGGCGTAACTGACTATAAAAGTCCAATATGCACAGTCCAATCAAGATCGCGTAACGAACTAGACATCCGGTTTGTAAACAACATGGATTTCAACGTGCAGATTTCGGTCGACTGCAGGATTTGAAAAACATGAGTACCGTGACGTTCAAGATCGTTGTCTTAACATCTTTTGATATGCTGCCGGTTGTATTGTGTTCCCAGTTCATGCACTATTATCTTATCATGCAACATGTTGGACTTTACATGTATGTATATCATGAACATGGTTGTGTGCTTCCGTTTTACCTTATTCGTTATATATGTTAAGACTGCTCTATATTGCGTTGCTTAAAGGGTTTATTTATGTTCAGGGATACCTAGGACTATTGCCACTACAACAACGCCGATGACAAGTATGACGACACCAATCACTACAACAACAACGCCGATGGCAAGTATGACAACAACCCCCACTACAACAACGCCGATGACAAGTATGACGACACCAACCCCCACTACAACAACGTCGATGGCAAGTATGACAACAACCACTACTACAACAACGCTGATGACAAGTATGACCACACCAAGCACCACTACAACAACGCTGATGACAAGTATGGCCACACTTACCCCCACTACAACAACGCTGATGACAAGTATGACCACACTTACCCCCACTACAACAACGCTGATGACAAGTATGACGACAACAACCTCCACTACAACAACGCTGATGGCAAGTATGACAACAGCCACCACCACAACAACGCCGATAACAAATATGACGACAACAACCACCACTACAACAACGCCGATGACAAGTAAGACGACAACAACCACCACTACAACAACGCTAATGACAAGTATGACAACAACCACCACTACAACAACGCCGATGGCAAGTACGACAACAACCACTACTACAACAACGCTGATGGCAGATATAACGACAACAATCCCCACTACAACAACGCCGATGACAAGTATTACAACAACCACCACTACAACAACGTCGATGGCAAGTATGACAACAACAACCACTACAACAACGCCGATGACAAGTATTATGACAACAACCCCCACTACAACAATGTCGATGGCAAGTATGACAACAACCACTTCTACAACAACGCTGATGGCAGATATAACGACAACAGCCACCACCATAACAACGCCGATAACACGTATGACGACAACAACCCCCACTACAACAACGCCGATGACAAGTATGACGACAACAACCACCATTACAACAACGTCGATGGCAAGTGTAACGACAGCGACCACTACTACAACAACGCTGATGGCAGATATAACGACAACGGCAGGCACTACTACAACAACGCCTACAGAGACAACAACTGTTGCAACAACAGACACGCCAGAGACACTTGAAACACCAGGTATAATCTTAACACAACCGACATCAGGAGCACCAGGGACGACTACAAGGAATACAACAATAGAAGACCCGGAATCCTCAACTGAAGACAATGAAGGATATACACCATCCATGGCGGGAACAGCAACCACAGGAAAATCAAAATCTGACTTAACCACAACAGAAACAGCATCTTCAACACAAGGAAAGTATCTACAAGATGCACCACGGGAATCAACAAGTATTAGGTTTGGTGATCTGTCAACATCAGGAACTACTGCAACTGGACAACTTTCAGTTTTAAGTTCTGGGGCGCCAGATTTCATTGGGGAAACTTCTTCAGCAACATCAGAGACACCAACATCGGACGACAACGTCAGCAATGGAATTGCATTGTCAGCATCTCAGTCGCCGGACAAGGAGGAGACCCAAATAATTCTCGCGACTACTTCTACCAGCGCCCTCTCTTCCAGTACGTTCCGGCCGACGGTGGACACAAACTCTATGTCCAGGTGCGACTGTTGCGCCGCGTGGAAAGAGTTCCTGAACAGAAACGTGTCACTGGGCAGCTTCAGTCTCGATGACCTCGTAGTTTACAAGAAGAAGAAGTTACAAACAGTAGATGACAAGCGTTTATCTGCACGTAGCATTGGGGGCAGTGCTGTTGCGATGTTGGTGATGAGCTTTCTCACAATTGTCGTGTTGGACGCCAGTAAACTGTTTCATGACTTCCGTCAGATGTACAAACATTTGAGAGAGTCCTTTCATCCCCAAAACGTGATAGACATTCAAGACAATCGCGTTCATGATGCATAGTTGTGACACCAACAGATTCTGCATCACCACACACAGATGCAGTCCCTTTACAGGTCATAGTCACTACAGTGAACTAGACAAGATACTATTATGGATAATTTTGGCCACTAATCTGACAACCGCATGACTTTCTGGCGCCGGACTCTATGTGATGGCTGAATAGAGCTCAAACGATGTAGTTTATTGTGATTCCGTACAGGAGAAAGTCCATAAGTTCTATGTTGGATTAATCGATCTAAGTTAAAAAATATTCATAAACAACTTCTCCTCTTCCCCATCCCCCCATCCGTCTTAAGCCCGTGATGTTTACAACCAACAACACTTCGAACCCGAATATAACTTTGGGGAGGCATTTTATATCGATTATTTTTATGTCCATGAGGAATTTTTGTTAGAGAAGACAGAATATTGTTATCGGCCACGGCTTCGAAACGTACCATTGTTTTTCTGTTTCTCTGACAGAAGGAGCTTAATATCATTATTATTCACAACGCATTTTTGTTTTGTGTAACGGATTTATCTTCAACAAAAAAAACACCTTTATCAAAAAATGATAGCTTGTCCTACCCCCATGAGTAGTGTAATAAGGTGTAATTTTGTCCTAAACCATTATAGTTAAACCACACAAGCGCGTAATTCAAAAATTATACTTTATCGCAGGGTAAAAATAGGCGCCTTTAAAATCTTAGAATAATTTATAATTTCGTATTTTACGTCATAAGTTGATGTGACTCCTTTGTTTGGTATTTAGCTTTAATCAAACCAACTAGCTATAAATAAAGCATGTGATGATGTGTCCTATATTGTTAGTGTACAATACATGTATATATGTATTTGATAAATTGTATTATATTTTAGATCATTTGGAATAAAGTGTTTTGTTGGAAAACTTATGACAGTAGAATTTTATACTACACACACGGAGCGATCAATGATTAATATATACTGCTCACAAACAGTAAGGGATACAGAAATGATATGGTTGTGCAAACCGATATACAAATAACCAGTTCAGTTCAGTGACTGGCTAAATCATGTGGACAAACCATTACCGTTTGTTCGCACGCTGTGTATTTATTACGGTGACGTACGACGTAGCCAGTGGTCGACAGCACATCATTGAGCTACTTCGTCAGGATACGATGAATGATTGAATGTTGTTAAACGCCTCAGTCAGCTACGTCCCAGTTCTAGTTTAGCGGCATGTAAATTATAGCGAATGACATTTATATATGACAAATAATCTAATATCAAACAAAGATATAAATATAAGGCCGTTACAGTGACCAATACATACATATACAATATATATATAATACGTTCACGCCGACCCCGGCTAGGACGTCGCTGCTGGTGTAGATCGTGAATGATGGGAGATATATATTATCATTAAAGAAACTAAAAATGCACAACACTCTCGACTATCTAATATTATTGGTGGTGTGTTAGTGTGTGCGCCTGCGTGCGTGTGTGCGTGCGTGCGTGTGCATGCGTGCGTTTGCCCGTATATTCCTTCAGTCATCACTGATAGAGGATCCAAGAAAAACCAATGACATCACGACAACGTTTTATCAAAGAAAATAACTCAGACAAGGAGATCTATATATATAGTCTTACTTTGGCTTCCTGATAACGCTGAGTTGATATTGTACACTTGATTTTACCATTTTTCAACAACGCTGCGTGATTTTACGAGCGCTTTTGTACATTTGAATGCATTAACGTGCAATTAGACTTAACATTTTTTAATAGTTCATTGTTATAACAATGAAAAGGCAAACGAATATATAGTGTACGATTTAACGTTTCAGTCCTCAAGTGGCGTGGTTGGAAACCATCAATATTTTACTATTTGTATCGACTGGTGTGTCTTCCTAAACCGGAAGTGAACATTTTTTACACCGTTTCAGAGAGCGTGCGTGCTCGTTTTATTTTCCCCGAAGACATTTTAGCCCAAATGCCCGATTCTCGTCTGATGTTGCACGCTATTTATAGCCGGCAATTTCTAAATTCAAATGATGCCTCGAAACTATAAACTGATGCATACATTCATTTTGTTGGCGATTAATCGGGGGTGTTTTGTTTCATGTCACGGCTGCAGCGGCACTGGTAGGCAAATTTGTAGTTGATAGCACAAACACTCAACGCTGTCAGAATACGCTGACAAGCATACAGACAGGACACACAAAGTAACTATTTCTGTCGTCATTTAACTCCACTCCAACGACCAGCGCAGGACCTATATGCTTCCCCGTAACTGGGTATGCGTTAGAAATGTTCAGATTAGTACAGGTAAAAAGAGTAAGTGATTTGGGTTTAACGCCATTTCGACTAGTATATCTGTTTTGTCATGGTGTATGGGCTTGATTTAGGAAGAAAGCCTGATGTGATGCAGGTTATTTACAGGATGTTTACTACTTTGTTAAAACCTACGTGCACGGGTATGGTACTGACTGTAATCAGAGCGCATCTGGGAGTCGAACCCACGTTCATAGGTTCCTTACGCAAACCGAAATGCGACGCCTTAGAAACTCCCGTGAAACTCTAAAAGGAACGAATATAATTATTAATATTTAGTTTCGTTGGATGCCTTGTCCTGTCAGTTGAGCTGGATCCCTCTTTGGGGACTGAATGAATGGATATTGGAGCTTTATTAGGATTGTCAGTATGATATAGCGTCACGACAGGCCAACCAATACACGTTCGTACTCTCAGTGTCTGCAAAGTAAAAATAATATAAATGGAGCATTGAGGTATCCTGCTGAGGGACTTTCCTGAATATGGTTCTGTTGTCTGTTGCGCTGCACTGGTCGAACAGAAGTTCGAATATCTTATTTATATATATGTTGTACATATCAAGTTGTGGTAGGTAATATTAAAACGCCATTCTATGTGAAATAACAATCAATATTCCATCTTCAACATACCAGGATATCTATCATGCACACAAACAGTCCTGCCCAGAGGAGGAAGAACACGAAGCCCACGAGGAGAAGACATCGGAGGAAGAACGCATGATGCTGGAAGCTGCTGGAGTCAGAAATGAGATGTCCATGCACACATTGGCCAACTTGATTACTGTGTTCTCCCATGTGTTGCACATTCCAAATGGACTTGATGGTTTTTAACAAAGATTCGGCTTGTTGCGTCAGTCAATTTCAGAAAGGTCAATGTTGCGTCATTAATTGACATTAATTAGGATGGTTGTATCCTAGACAGGAAAACTGACTTTGATTTTATTTCATGTATACACCTTGGCATTGTATGTAGTTGTCATTGCATGTTAAACGTACTTCTGTTAATGTCACTAATATTCATCATCAAATCATCCATTTCTTGAAAATTTACGAAAACAATGTATTTCAAGCTAAAAAACGAAATTCTGTCGGGCTACATCGTGTTACATTAAATCCTCTGTCAGTTATTTTAATGCCAATAGAAATATGCCATATTTCTCAAATTTCATGCGTCATTTGAAGCAGACTGTTATCAATTCTTGACAACTGACATATGATTTAAGAACAGTGATTAACGTGCACTCAGTTTTGTTTGTTGGTGTTCTTAATGGGGAAAAGATAAAATGTGTTCCTCACGAATCACATTTCTTTTCAATAAAAAAATATAAAACGTCCTACCTCCCTAAAATGTGAATCTGGCGTCATCTGAACATTAAGCCTAGCCATGGCAGATAACCCTGATTCTTCATCAGCCCCCTTGTGATTACAACATCGCTTTTACCTTGGGTGATAACCTTGAGTGACATGTACATGGGTGAAAAACATGTTGTCAGCAACTGGTTATGTAGACCAACTGTGTTTGATATGTTTCGGAGATGTTGTGGATGTACGTATGAAAAACAACTGGCACCTCAATCAACCCAATCCATCATGGGTAGGCTCATTACCTCATATCCTGGAATCCTGGTAGAGATAAGTGGAAAGACATGTGGTTTGATGGATTATATAGCCTTCATGCATGCATAGTACAGTCAGATGTCAGATGAGTATATATGGTAAAACCACAACTATTGTGCCAACATGCCAAAATGTCGAAAATTAAAGGATTAGTGACTGAAGGGACTGAATCAATTATATGTCGGTACAACTTGTAACATACTTAATTGGTATCATTTCAGCTAGATATAATAGACAAATACTCCTGTTATAAAACCAGGTATTGACCTTACTGATACGTCAAGGTTAGTCTACCTATCTAATCAGTACAAGCATCATCGCCTCTTAAATACCTGAAACGACAACAAGCTGAAACCATCATAGACAGTCACTGCAAAATGGCTTCTCTCTCATTTCTACTAATACTGTCAGTACTTACAGTACTGACAGTGTATGGCCAGTACCAGCCTACATGGGAATCCCTGGATTCAAGACCACTCCCTGCTTGGTATGATGATGCCAAATTTGGAATCTTCATCCACTGGGGAATCTTCGCGGTGCCAGGTCTAGGATCAGAATGGTTTTGGTACCTCTGGCAAGAGCGAAAAGTGCCAGAAGTTGTCGAATTTATGGAGAAGAACTTTCGACCAGATTGGACGTATGCTGACTTTGCTCCAATGCTAACGGCAGAATTCTTTGATACTGATGAATGGGCTAGAATTTTGCAAACTTCAGGTGCCAAGTAGGTATAGTGTTCTTTATCATATAATGGGTAGGTTTCTCGGCAGGATAAAGCCAAAGGATAAAAACGATATCCGTTGGGGTCATATGCGGATAGAGATGCAAATATCAAAGGTCAAGTAGGGACTACTTTTACTGTTTATAAACAAACATGGCGTCGCCCTTGTCATTCGGCGATCGAGTCAGAATTAACCATCGGGAATATGGATAAACTACAGGGATAATTGTTATCATTATCAAAAGAACAGTCATATAAACTGAAAATCAGTGTCTAACTGTGACGTAGCTAAGGCATTTTATAAGTTTTGGCAACTCTGGCGATATAAATTTCGAAACAATTTTGCGAGGGCACGAGGCCTAGCCAAGCGGGATCAGTAACCATATCTGCAGCTTGAAACCTTCTCCACAAATTAAAATAGTTGGATTTGGCCGAAATATGTTTGAATTGTTACCTTGTTTCGTTTTGTCGCTGTGTGTACATCTGACTACACTTCTTAACGTTATGACAGGACCGACCGACTGTCAACAACGTCTGACCGTGGCCGTGACGTCTCATTGACTAGGGTTAGAGTAGCTTCCCTTTGACAAAGGGCAGTTACTCTAGCGGACAGACCGATGGATTGCCGCGAAAGGCAATTAAAAACAATTGTTGTTTTGCGTATATATTGCTTCGCCACTGTATAAGAAACAGATTTCAGTTGGAACTATATTGGTTTCTGTCACTGTCCGACTGACACATCACTTACCCTGTGACGTAATAAATATTAATGCGCGCATTCCAGGAAAACTCGCAATGTTTCGGTAATGTTTGTGAGAGAGGGAAAGCGATTTTGAAGCACAGAATTAAAGAATGACATTATATGATAAAGAGGTTATCACGCTTGTGTGTTTGGGGATGGTAAATATCCTGTATTAGGAATAAATACAATGTTTATTCTTAATGCAGGATATTTACCATCCCCAAAGACACTCGCGTGATAACCTCTATTTATTAAAAATCAATGCATTTATCTATCGATCTCGAATTATTTATATAGGAATGAAAATATCTATCAGTATATTGTTTAATTGCCTTAGTATATATG